ACATGGATGTCTTCAGCGATCCAGTTGCTGTAGCTAACCTTCGTGGGGACATTGCTTCATTTGAAACACAATTTGCTTTCTTGTGTCAGACATCTGCAGCAGTTTTTGTGTTCTTTGATGCTTTGAACTCTGAGTGTGAGCTGCTAAACAACCAAAACCAGAAGGCCCAGATCTTCTTGGTGGTTAACCGTCAAAGCAAAGATTTCAAATTAGATGCTGTAAAAAAGGTAGCAACCAAGTTAAGCTTAACCAAGAGAAACATCCTTTTGAAAGATAAGAACATAAATTATGCAAACTTTGTCAAAGATTTGCGGGAAAAAGTCAGCAATGTATTTGAAAACACAAAGGTGAAGATGGGAATTGAGAAGATGTCTGACGTTGCCCATGAACATGGAATTTGTGTTGATGAAGACTCTCCAGAGTGCCAGACTGCCAAGGAAAATGCAGATGCTATCACTGCAGAAATTCAAGACATTCTTAAATACAAAGACGCTCAGCTTCCCTTGCAAGGCCAGATATGGAAGGACCTTACTCGCTTGGAGAAGGAAGAATTCCGGCTTCGGAAAGTTGGGTCCAAAAATATAGAAAAATACAAAAGTGATCTTCAGCAACAGAAAACCAAACTTCGGGAAAAACAGAACTCTCATGACATCTCAAAGGCAATGACATGTTTCATCTATGCAATATCAAACCCGGGGATACAGAGGTGCTATTTCCTGAAATGGATGCGAATGAACCTCGATAACGTGTCTCGGGAAAACCTGTGTGACCTCAGGGAGCAGTACAAAGAAAAATGCAAAAACCCTGAGAACAAAGAGGAGATCAAGGATATTGACCAACAACTTTCCAACAGCTCATTAGGAACTGAACACTTCTTCCGTGAAATGGGGCAGATCTATGAAGCTTCCCTTTCCCTTCCTGAAACAGACCCAGCACGTCAACAACTACAGCATCTCCCCAAGCTATGTGCTAAGTTAATGCTTGATGGATTTCCACTAGAGCTTGTAGATGGAGAAGCATCCAACATACCTCTCAGATGGGTGACTGACGTTCTCTCTCAGCTCAATGCCTTGGTGTCTCCTAAGAACAAGATCCTGGTAGTCACAGTTCTTGGAGTTCAGAGCACAGGAAAGTCCACTCTCCTCAACACCATGTTTGGAGTGCAGTTTGCAGTCAGCAGTGGTCGATGCACTCGAGGTGCCTTTATGTTGCTGATTAAAATCAATGAAGATGTCAGAAAAGACTTCAACTGTGACTTCATGGTGATCATTGACACTGAGGGCTTAAAGTCACCAGAGCTTGCACAACTGGACAATAGATATGAGCACGACAATGAGCTTGCAACACTTGTTGTGGGGCTGAGTGATATCACCATCATCAATGTTTCAATGGAGAATTTAGCAGAAATGAAGGACATCCTACAGATAGTTGTACACACTTTCCTCAGGATGAAAGAGGTGGGCAAAAAGAAGCCCAAATGTCAGTTTGTTCACCAGAATGTGTCCGATGTTTCAGCCCATGACAAGAACCTGCGAGACAGGAAACTGCTCCTGCAACAGTTAAACGAGATGACCCAGGCAGCAGCCAAAATGGAAAAGAAAGAAGAGAACATGAGCTTCACTGATGTGATGGAGTACAGTCCAGACACTGGAAACTGGTACATTCCTGGACTCTGGAATGGAAACCCACCGATGGCAGCAGTCAATGCAGGCTACAGCGAGGCTGTCTATGAGCTCAAGAAGAACATCATCACCATTTTGGGAAGTTGTGGATCATCAGCTAATAATATCTTGGAGTTTACAGAGTGGATGAAGAGCCTGTGGACGGCAGTAAAACATGAAAACTTCATCTTCAGCTTCAGAAACAGCATCGTGGCTGATGCATACATGAGGCTGTGCACAGAATTCAACAAATGGGAATGGGACTTCAAAAAAGAAATGTTCACATGGGTTACACAAGCTGAAACAAGAATCTCCAACTTCGGTACACCTGCTGATAAATCCAACAAATCTGACATGAGAGAACTTCTCATGCTATTGAAAAATGAAGCTTTGACAGAGCTGTCTGAATGGGAAACAAAGCTTCTTGGAAATCTGGAACAGTACTTCAAGCAAACAGAGGGTCATGTCTATCTTGTTGAAGGATACAGAGAGGAGTTTGCAAACAGTGCAAAGAGCCTTCGACGAGAAATGGAAAGCTCTGTGTTTAATCAACTCACAGCAGCAGCCGACATCAGACAGGGGATGACACAACTTGATAAAATCAAGGTGAACCACACAAAGGACTTAGAGGGCAGAGTTTGTGCATTGATTGAAGAATGTAGGAAGAAAAAAGTCAGGATGACAGAGATAGAGCTGAACAAAGAATTTGACAAGATGTGGACTGAAACAGTGAATGAACTATCCTTTACAAAAATGAAGGTTGAGGACATTTTCACACCTGTGTCTCACCACCTGAGAACAAATCTATCAACCAAGGGAGGTCACGTAAGTGATATGTTAAGTCAAAAAAGCCTGAGAGAATGTGGACTGGGGCCATTTAAATATACAGTTGAAGGACTCTTGAATCAAAGTGCACACAGACTTAAACAGTGGTTAAACATACCAGGTAATGCAAAGGCTGTACAACAAACAGCTGACGGCATCATTGCAGTTTGCTCACAGATGGTGAGTGAAAAAATGCAAAGAAAGAGCAATTACCATGATACTTACATCAATGAGATTCTAAACATGATTGATGAGAGGCTGCAGAACAATCAGGAAGTTGGAACAGACATCACTTTTGAAGTCTCTCTGAAACAGCACATCTGTGGAGACGCAGCCAGAAGGTTTCAGAGAATGCATGAAGATTTAATCCAAAAGAATGATCCCTACAGATGTCTGAAGGAAAACAAAGAAAAGTCTCTTTCTGATTTTAAAGACGTGTTCCGTAATGTAGACCAGTGCCAGAAGAAGGCAGAAGAATTCACAGACCGATGCTTGAAGCCTGCAGTCGAAGACTTTGTCAACCATTCCCTGGGTCCTGATATCATTGGTGAAATGAAGACAAGTGAGCAGTTCAGCACAAGAATGTCCTTCCAGTATTCACTTTTACTGGATCTGCTCTCAGAGGATGACTTTAAAAAGTACCAGAGCTATATTTGCTCATATGAGAAATATGTAAAGAAATGGATACTCAACAAAATATTGGAACACTTCTCAAATGGGTCAACGGAGTTTGAGGATCAACATCTCCAGTCATGTGTCAACAGCATAAATGATGCTATCCAGAAAGCTAAAACAGGAAAGAGTGGCAACTTAAAGTCATTTGTTGAAGTTGTCTGTCAGGAACTTGGTGACAAACTGGTCATTTCCCAGGATGCTCTTGGGGCATTCATGACCCTGAATAATGCCGACCAGGAACAGTTTGCTCACTGGCTCACTAAGTGTGTGACGGAGATGGCACAAACTTTTAGAGAGAAGTTTAAGAAAACAAACATCCAAACTAAACTACAGAGCCTTCATGTGAATCCTCAGAACGAGCTTTTCAACACACTGATTGGATGTGGTAAACAGTGTCCGTTCTGCAAAGCGCCCTGTGAGGCAGGAGGAAGAGCCCACACTGAGCACTTCGCTTCACTTCATCGACCAGAGGGTCTGGGTCAATACAGATGGAGTGATTCAGAAAAACGTTGCATTGAAATATGCTCTTCCTCTGTGAACAGTGACATTTCTTTTCACTGCAGTGCTACAAAAGATCAACCGCACCCTTTCAAGCGTTACAGGGAAATCTATCCGGACTGGAAAATCTCACCAGATGCAAGCCTCCAGGCATCAGACTACTGGAAATATGTACTGGCAAACTTCAACAATGAGTTTGCAGCAGCATACGATGCAAAGCCTGCTGATATTCCTGAAGTTTGGAAAGAAATCACACCTGAGCAAGCAGAGGCAAGCCTCAAAGAGTCATTTCATATCAAATGAGAAACTACAAGCTTTGTGCTCAGAGGGTCCCGTCCTCCTCATTACAGTCATCATCCTCTCATGGACATTTAGATTACACTTGATTTATATGAAGAGAAGCACACAAAGTAACATGCTCTTTATGAGATGGCAAGGTTGACCAAATATTTCAACAACAACTTACAAGGAATTTGTAAACGTTTCAGTTTGATTAACATACTTTAAATCCTTATTGTTTTGGTTGTTATTGTAGTATCAATTAATCAGATTATTTCCTTAAAGTAACTGATGCAAACATTTTTGCTTTTATGTTTTTCTGTGGTTTTGTCATAAACACATTAACAATTGTAATGTTTTAAAATATCATTCAGTCTTCATGTCAACATGAAGATTATACAATGTCTTTATTTTTATTTCAAATAAGTATCTGATTCTTATTATTTACATTTTTATTGACACATTCAGAATTGTTCTCTTTTCATTTCTGAGCTGCATCAAAAGCCACACATTTAGATTTTTAAATCAGTGAATGAATCATTGTGTTTTAGTGGTGGTACAGTCAACATGTAAACATGACAGAAAGTCTGTTGTCATCAAGTTCAGTTTGACATGTGACCGTTTCCCAGAGAGTTAGAATCTATTCTTATTTTGTTTCATTTATATATTTACATATTCAATGTTTAACATATCATTCAATCTAAATGTCAACATGTAGATTACACATGAATGTTGTTCTTACTTTATTGAGTGCTATATGTCATTGCCTTACCAAAAACCTGAAAGTCTTTCTTTGTTTTCCAATCAAGTATTTACCTCCAAATATTTACATTTTTATGTTCATGTTATAATATTTACTCAACATGTATTATGTTAGTTTTCATTTTCAAATGCCACATTTTTAACATTTTTAGATCAATTAAAGGATAATTTAGTTCATATTCAGCATGTCAACATGTAAACATGACAACAGGTTTGAATCAACTTAAGGATGATATAAAGATGGTATTGTTTTTGTGAATATTTATTTTGTTGCATTTTTCATGTTTTGTCAACGTGTAGGTTATCCTTCAGGTTGTTTTTATTACCTAATCCAGTAAGACATTTAATTCTCTTTGTTCAAAATCTATAACCACTTTGTTTCCTGTCATTGAAGTATCTGATATCACATATTTACATGTATTACTCACTTAAAAGATCATTCAATATAAAAGTGCTATTGTCAACAAGTAACAGCATCATATATGATCTTTCTTTTACTCAGATCTTCTAATCTTTTGTTTCTGTGAAGTATCTGATTCTTTATATTTACGTAATACAAAACACCATTCATTCTTTATACTGTTCATTTCTTTATAATGTTAACATGTATACTTACTACTGTTTACTATTTCAATAAAGAGACCACATCTGCAGACTGGCTATGAATGTATTTAATGTTTCCCAGATCAGAATCACAGCATACAGAGTATAATAACTTCTAAAGTAAACAGAAATATCATCACCTCATTTATTTATATAGTTTAAAAATATATATTTTTTTAATAATCATCTTTTTTTAATACCATTATTTTAAAAATGTTGTTCATCTGTAATGGCATCCAAGGTTTCCTTTGATGCCACTATAGAGCGGGGTTGACGACACGCAATCCAGAGCAATAAGCAGCCGAAGGTTTTCAGTCAAAAAATGTAATTTATTAACAAAAAAGGTATTGACTTAAATAGTCTCAAAATAACAAATCTAACTAATAATTTCGGCGATATACTTTCCTATATAAACTATACTTTGCAGTCCAATTTGCAACACTAATTTAGTTTATAATTTGCGGTCGAAAAACTGTTCCGCTCCCCGTCTCATCAGGTCTCAGAGCACCCCAGCTGTCCTCAATTACCTCACTTAAATAAACACCGGAAGGTACAAGGAAACAGATCATATTTACGATTTAAAATAAACAATCATTTCATCAAAAGATATTCACCATGGCAATATAAATCATTTTACATCATTAATTCATTTATCAAATTATGAATCTAAATAATAACTTTGACTTCATTGTGGCTCTAACAGACCACATCTGCAGACTGGCTATGGATGTCTTTAATGTTTCGCAGATCAGAATCACAGCATACAGAGTATAATAACTTCTAAAGTAAACAGAAATATCACCTCATTTATTTATATAGTTTAAAAATATATATTTTTTTAATAATCATCTTTTTTTAATACCATTATTTTAAAAATGTTGTTCATCTCAAATCTTAGGATTCTGAATACAACAAATAATGTAAAAACAAGACAACAGGTGCAACTCTGCAATGAATCGTGTGTATGTGTGTGTGTGTGTGTGTGTGTGTGTGTGTGTGTGTGTGTGTGTGTGTGTGTGTGTGTGTGTGTGTGTGTGTGTGTGTGTGTGTGTGTGTGTGTGTGTGTGTGTGTGTGTCACTGTCTTTACCGTGGGCCACATGAAGTCATTTTGGTTTGCTTGGCTGATTGCAGTTTGCTGAGGCTAGGTGTGTCCACATACATCCAGTCTGATCCACGGCTAATCACAGGTTCAGACTCTGAAAGTGAGAGACATTCAGATTAACTTAAAGTTGAATTTAAACTGTTAACAAGAAACTAGAAGTAAAGAATGTTTTTAAGGATGTCTGTGCATGTTTTGCTTTCTAGTGTTTTTGTGTTGATTTGTCCCATAACTGTATATTTTGCTAATTAAAAACACATGATTACATTTGGATAAAGAAAGTATAGATGGAAATACAACAAGGGGGAGTCAGTCCATGTCATTCATTATCTTCATCTTCAGGTCAGCGGAGTTGACAATAATGACTGACCTGTATTCCACCCTGAGCATTGTTTTAACAGTGTTAAAGATACATTCAGCCAGTTATATCATTGTTCAAGAAATCAATCACATGGTCTTACTGAAAACTGTCCTTTACCTATTCATTCTGAACATGGACTCCAGCAGACTACTGACATCTAGTGGACATGAATTGCAACAACACCTACTTTAAACTCAGGATTTCTCTTTCTAATTGTTATTTTTAAAACATAAAGACATGGAACCTTAAACATTTCTTAATTGTACCTGACAATTAAAGACATTTAATTTAAAACACAACCGTAGCCTCAAGACATGCAAAGTGAATTAAGAAGAGCAACTATCTGCAATTGACAACTTAATATGTTTAACTACAGTTGTCCCAATTGAAGCTCCCGTCACAGTGTACTGACTGATTCTGCAGTCCATTGCTGCTGTCATCCTCAAACATCTCCACACACAGACAACACAATCATATCTGTCTACTGATTTATCAGGAAAACTCACAAGGTTTATCCCAATATCCATCCTCAACTTGACCCGGAAATCAATCGTTGAAGGACGTCATGATTCCTTAAATGCGTGCGGAGGAGTCGATGAATGAGGAGGCTTCCAGAGGAGAGGGGCGCGAGGAAACACGAGTGCAGGCTATGCGGAAGTGTTATTGCTACATGCGCATCAAAGCTCCGCCCACAGATCCAGAGCCGTGTGCATACTGCCGCTGGAAACTCTGTAGTACATATGCTGGGACTGTAAGTGGCGCTGTACTTCCACACGAGACCGCTCGAAAGCTGTAGTACATATGGCGGGACTGTAAGTGGCGCTGTAACTTCCGCCACAAAATACACCAAAAGCAGCGAGTATAAGATCCCCCCCGGATGTGTGTGAGGCACAAACAAAACAAACAAACGAAGATGGCTGTTAGTCGCGCAAGAAAGGAGCTATTTTCGTGGTCCGACGACGAGGTGGAACTTCTTTTAAGTGTAACACTTGAGTATAAGACGACAAAAATACAGGATAATGTAGACTGGGAGTCCTGCAAGCCTAAATATACGGAGATAGCCGACTTATTTCAGGCGCAATATCCGAGGACCCCGACTGAAAAAGATTTCCCTCACGAGAAGAACACAATTTCACAGGGCCAGCTTACAGCGAAACTAAAACAGGTACAAGGGGACTTGTTCGACATGGAAGAGTCGTCGCCCGGACCAAGTTCATCCCCGAGTTTGGAGCATTCCATGGATTTGCCAGAGTCGAGTAGATCCAACGGAACTCTGCCAACTGCTGCGGTTGTGAGTCATCGCAGGGATCTGCTCCAGGTATGTTCATGATTTCAATCTTAAAGGGCTTGCTATATACTATGATGCAGTACCTTCCACTGAAAAACTGAACCGGTTTAAGCTTGGTAAAATTAGAAAGTATTTAGAGCTGTTTTATTTGTAAAATGTATTGAGAGCTATTTCACAACATGCCTTTTGTGTTCTGTTATCTGGTGGCTATGGTCCTATTGTGTATTAATTCAAACTTTCTCTGGTTTATTATAGGCACGGCTGGACGGCCACAGAAGTGACCGCATGAAGAGGAAGCTTCCAGCTGAACATGCGGTGCAGGAAGAGCTGCGATTAAAAAGCCGGATGTTGGACTTAATGGAGGAAGCAACCAGCCGCAGCGCAGCCAGCATGGATCGTATGAACAACACCATGGACAACATTAATGTGACTGTACAGAATGGCCTTTCCCTGATGAGCCAGTTCATGCAAGTTCATACTAACAACAGTGGATATGGACACTTCCAGGTGCCCTCATACCCACCCCGAAGGCCACACACGGCCACACCAAGATTAAACCCCTCTGTACCACACACCCCACAGCAACAATCTCCTCCATATTCATTCAGGCGGTCACTGGATGAGGAGGAGCAGTAAAGCAGTGAGCTTCTTTTTTTTTCACAGCACTTTTTGGTCAAAGGAAGTCTGTAAACATTTTTATTTTTAACTCCACCAGACTTTGTACAAATGGAGAATCACTTTTTTTTTAAGCCTTTTTTTTTTAGCTAGCAAAGGTATTTTTTTCCCTTTTACTGTGTACACATTTATAAATAATGTTATTAATAAAAAACCTTATTAAAATAAAAGAACAGTCTTGTCTTTCATGTAAGGGTCAATGTACTCCGCAAGCACTCTCCTCACTCTCTTTCCTTCTCCCTCATTACAGTCAGTGAGATATCTATATCAGTGTGTGGGAGGCTGTAAGTCCTTTTCACCTTGTAAACCTAATTTTGACTAAATACACCACATTTATGAAAAGTAACCCCCCCCTAGTGTCAAATATCTGAACTGTGATATGTCACATTGGGCCTTAATGGTAAAGCCCAAACTATTGTTAGGCATATATTATAGTCTCAGATATATAAAAAACATGTCTATGAAGTGTTTTGCTCAAAATACCAAAGAAATTACCCATTATAGCCTCATTCCCTTCTATTTCATCTCTGGAATCAATATGATCAGTATTATGCATTTCACAAAGAAAGTTTGCATTATGATTTTTATGAATTGTATAAATTCAACTTTGATTCAACATTTGCTTATATTACTTTTACTGAAAATCCTCAAATATTGGTTAAAATACTATTTAGAGAAGGGAAGGTAACACAATCTTAACAGGTTAATATAATAGTTTTTTACTACAGTGTATGTACTATGTTTCGCTAGTGGCCAATACAGTCTGAAAATACCATATCAAAATGTACGGTTCTTTTACTATATGTGTAAATAAATACGGTACAAAATATATATGGACAACCTGACTCGGTAGAATGGGCCATATAACTTCATTCATGAGGATGATGACATTTGTTGCACATTAAGTTCAAAGAAAGTCTGGAAGTGGTTGCAGCCAATTTTATTTTTAGTTTCACACTTTTGACATTGGAGAATCACATAGTTATTTGCTTAGTTTCACACATGTGACATGCATTAAAAAGTACTAAAAACAGTTAGGATATAATACAAAAAATCCTGTAACAGTCCTCAGATTTAGCAGCCAGGTACATATACCTAGCCAGGTATATGAATATTGTACAGCAGCCTGTCGCTGAAGGAGCTGCACAGTGAGGACAGGGAATGTAACAAAGAATGTTTATCACATCTTAATAAACACCTTTAAAAAAAATGTACAGTCTATGTACATACATGGTATGGCCTCCTCTTCGTCCACAATCTGTTTTTTCAGAGCAGGGATCTTTCCAGTTTTTAAGTACATGTTTAGCTTGGAATTAGCAAAGACCCGTGCATCATGCACACTCCCAGGCCACTTTACCACGACATCCATGAATCGGTACCTGTAATCACAGACAGCCTGTACATTAAAGGAATATTTTCCTTTCCTGTTGATGTAACTAGTGGAGTCGTTAGATGGCTGCTTGATTTCGATGTGGGTTCCGTCCACTGCTCCTAAACATTGTGGCATGCCATGTGTACAATGGAACCCCTCAACCAGATCCGCGGTCTCGGGCTCAGTAAAAGGCAGCTTGATGTATTTTGGACCCAGGTGGATGGTGATCGCTCTGCATGTCTCCCTAATAATGA